ATTATTATTGGCAATTTCGAAATTTGTAATAGGCAATTCCTTGGTTAAAATCATGTCCTAGTTAAATAGTATTAGAAATCTATCAAATTGCAATCAAAGTTAAAATATGAGTTATTGAATCATAATTATAGCAAAAGAGTTGAAATTAGTAGTATAGGTTCTGAAGAAGTCCAAAATGTCCAAGAAAATCATATATGATCAAGGGAATTCAATTAGAAGTCTAAAGAGTGTCAAAGAGTTGTACAAGTTATGCTCCAAAATTTCAGTTACAACTTGCAATGCATTTTTCACATAAAACATATTGGAATTTGGACAAGGTTGTTTCTAGAAGAATTGTAGTCATTTGAGTTAAATTTTCCATGCATTTTGAATCACTTTAATCGGACATCAGGAGAGAAATTTATGATAAAAATACTCACGACTGCTCAACTGATGCTCGCCGTCGCTGGCTTGGTGCTCAAGCGATACGTCAACATTTCAAACACTTGGTTTTTCAATTCCTTTTCATCCCAAATATTTTTCGACATATATATAACCACATATTATTTGATCCATAAATTCATACAAATCATATTTTGTTGATCAAGCCATATTGTTTCATATAAAATTATACATCAAAACACACAAGAAATTTTGATCATGCACCAAACCACTTAATCACCGGAGATAAATCGATACCAGAGATCAAGAGCTGTTGTAGAATTACAAATTCAGGAAGACTAAGGTGGGGTACTGGAGTCGGGATCTTGCGTCAAGATCACGCAGTACATGAGGGATAAGATATAAAACAAGAGTTGAGATTTGTTTTGAAGGAGCACACATCTAGTAGGATAAGGAAGACTATATGAATTGATGTCAAAAGTTCTACGGGATAGACGGGTTTAGGCCGTACTATAAGTTTGCTTCGATTTATAGTGGATTATTGACTGACAAAGAACCATGAGTTTTTACTCAATTGAAATTTCTCCGTGATCATCTTTAGTATTCTTTATTGCTTTTATTATTGATGGTGGCATTCAAATTTAGAAAAATTGGTTTTGTTTGATTTAATCATCTAGAAATAATTAAAAAGCGACTTGTTGCTTTTA